ACAAGGCAGGCCACGCCCTCTCAGGCTCTTAAAGGCACCCAGCCCCTTGCAATGGATTCACCTTCGAAGCCTTCTTCTGCAATGGTCCCTCCACATTTCCTGGGGTTAGGGATGAAGGACCTCCATGAATGTGGAAAAACTGCAAATAATAATCATTTCTGGAAAAACCACTGTTCTTTTTATCTAAGAGAACACCCTCTCTAGGAATTTCCAGGTCCTCCAGTGCAACTCTATGGTGGACATCTGCCAGATGTTGATCAGAGAATCATGATGGAGGACCTACAAATGCCTAGAGCAGGGTTTTCTCTAGGAGCTTCTCCAGCACAACTCTGTGGTCAGTGTCCGGCAGACATTGCGCTGGAGGAGCTAGAGATTCCTAGAGAGAACATATTCATCAAAACCGCAAATAATCCTATCTGCAAAAATCTAAGCTGCAAATGCAGAGGGCCAAATTGTGTCTATTCTGGGGTGACCCAGGCACCCCAACTTAATTCCAATCCTCTGCTCTTTCGCTAATCCAACAGCACCCCATTTTCACAACAAGGTTTAAGGACCTTGTGCTCTTGAGGGTGCTGAATTTTACAGATTTGTCAAATCTTGGAAGGGGTCTAGTCTGACCCTCCGCCATTCAGGAATGTGCAACTGAAGCACTAAATAATTGTGAGAGGGATTTTATATATATTATATATATAGGATTTCAACTAAAGAATTGAGAAAGAGGACAGTGGTCAAGGAAAGACAGGGTATCGGTGTGTGTCTTCAAGTTGCCTGTCAACTGGCAACCCTATGAATTTTAGGCAAGGAAGACACTGAGATGGTTTTGCCAGTTCCTCTAAAATATAGTCTACAGCACCTGGGATTCACTGGAGGTCTCCCATCCTTGTATCAGCCAAGCCTGAACCTGCTTAGTTTCCAATATCAGACAGGATCTGGTGCCTTTAGGGTACTTTGTCACCAATATATAAGGAATAGATAGAAGTCTATAGCATTACACCCTATGTGGAGCAAGCAGATGAGGACCCTACAACCTAGCAAGGTCTACCTTACAGCCAAAGCAGAAGTGTGGGAAATTCAGGGTACAGAAAAGGACAGGCTTTTTCACACAGTTCATCGGTGGAACTCGCTGCCACCAGATCTAGGGATGGCCTGGTCTCCCAGAATCCTAATCCAACAAAACCACTGTATCATCCTGATATAGTTATCCTATCGTAGGGTTTTCTTGGCAAGATTTCTCAGAGGAGCTACCGAGAGAGTGTGACTTTCTCCACACCATCTAGTGGGTTTCCAAGCAGGGATTCCAACCCTACCCTCTGGGAGTTCTAGTCCAACACTCAAACCACTACACCCCACTGGCTCTCAAATGTCTTCAAGTCATTTCTAATTTATGGGTACCCTACAGTGATCCCATTACAGGTTTTCTGAGGAAGATTTGTTCAGAGAGAGTTTGCCATTGCCTTCCTCTGAGGCTGAGAAAGTGTGACTTGCCCAAGATCACACAGTGGGTTCCATGGCTAAACAGAGATTCGAACTCTGGTCTCCCAAAGTCCTAATCCAGCGCTCAAACCGCTGAACCACAAGTAGCCCTCGCTTACCAACAATGCTATACTGGAATATTTCCATTAAGCCTCTCTTCTTTCTCCTCTTCCTTCCAGTTTGAAAGAGTGTGGCCATGGCTGTAACCCAATTTCGGGACAGGTTTGGGAAACTCAGCATTTCCAGTCAGGGATTAGGCCCAGCTGTCTGGCTCAGCAAAGATATTAATAGAAGTTTTCTTTTTTCATCATTTTTCAGCCCGAAGCTGTTAGTAGCAGAGAAACGTGAAAAGCGGAACAAATAGCTCTGTGTAACTCAAAAGCTTGCTATCATAATACAAATGAAGTCACAGAAACATACTTTCTCTCTCTCTCTCTTGGCATTTGCACACAAAAGTATATAATAATTGCACATCTTATGGGGATACACAACATTTGCAAAACTTAGACACCACTAGGAACATACATTTTTGTCTCTTTCATCCTTGCATTCAAGGATTTCCACGGTTTTCTCCCCGCAATTGAAGAAACAAAGTTTGTTTTTTCCTGCAGTACTCTCCCTGCATTTGCACATCCTAAAGTATTCCAGGGAATTACTTGCAAAGAGATCTTGTAGGACTGTTGAGACTAAATGAGAGAAAGAGGGGCTTTGCCATTGTCTCTTTCAAGTTGGTAGCATAAACTTTGGTAGACTTGGGCTACTTCCTCAGATGCATGGATAGAAGGGCCTAGAAACAGGCCTTTATAAGCAAGCTGTGAGTGTGAATCACAATAGAAATGCAAAACTTGTGAGCATGGTGACTAGTTCAGTCATTGGGAGAGAAAAGCAGGAAGAAGGATGTTGCCTCCTACCATCAGGTACAAAAATCCAGGTTGGGCAGAGAGTGCATGAAGTGTGTTTGCACATAAAGCCCATAGCCAGGATACTGCATCATGGTCAATGGTGCATGCTGTCTAGTGCATGCCAGACAGCCAGCATGATGTAGTGGTCTGAGCACTGGACTATGACTCTGGAGAACAAGGTTCAAATCCCTGCTTGGCCATGAAACCCTCTGGGTGACCTTGGACAAGTCACACTCTCTCAACCTCAGAGGGTGGCAGTGGCAAACCCCCTCTGAAAAAACGTGACAAGAAATCCACATGATAGGTGAACCTTAGAAATGAGAAACGACTTGAAAACACACAACAACAACAACAACAACAACAACTAAGTTGCCGAAACGCAATGGACACCTATTTGTAAATTGTGACAGTGCCTATCTGGGCACCAGCAAGAAATGGTTTGATGCACAGTGGGCACTTCTGATGCACATCAGGCACTCCCTTTGGGCTCTGGCACTTCTGTGCCAGTATCCAGATGTGCACTTGGAAGCGGCCCAATGTCCATTGGTGGCCATTGCACATGGGTCACCATGTGCACACTGCACAGTCACCCCACTGGCTACCGGTGTCCAACAGATGCCCATACATTGTGACATTACAGAAGAAATGCTCAGTTCTCTTTTCTGCATCATGTAAGGCCACTTACGCAAGTCCCAAGCAGAACGCCAGCCCACATTTTCTATGCAACCTTCCTCCCATGCACATACATTTTTAAAGGCAGGAAAAAACCACATGGCTTTCTGTGTGGAACACTTCAGGATGTGTGGTTAGCAGGAGAAAAACAACCGCACAAAGCTCTTACTGTTGTGTTATTCTTCTCAACCGTTGAAAAACCCTTTTCTCAAAGGGGAAGTGAATAGCAACGGGTATTCTTTCCATCTCTAGTCACGCGCCAATGAAAGTGTCAGCCTAGTGTGTGTCAGCTGGGGATCCCACGCTGGGAATCATTAGGAAAGAGACTGAAACATAAAGTTCCAATATAGTAACTTGTTGTTATGGGACATCAAGCCAACCAACGTTTGACAACCCTGTCAATGAGAGACCCCAGAATCATCAGAATTAGGAGGAACCTCAAGGGTCATCCAGTTCAACCCTCTGTTAGGCAGGAATATACAGCTAATGTACTCCCAAAAGGCTGGCTATCAACCTCTGTTTAAAGAGCTCCAAAGAAGAAGAGGCCACCACCCACCAAGGAAATCTGTGCCACTGTTGAATGGTTCCTACAGGCAAGAAGTTCTTCCTAACATTTGTTGACAGTCTTGCTCAGGTCTTGCAAACTTTTCCTAGTGCCTTCCACTTTCCCTAACATTATTGTCTTCTCTAGTAAGTCATGTCCTGCCATGATCTATCTGAAGTCTTAATATAGTCATTTTGGCTTCTAATGCAAGTTCAGGCCCGATTTGCACTAGGACACATTTATTTTTCTTTTTAGCAGTCCATGGTATCCAGAGAGCCAATGTAGGCTGCATCCATACTGCAGAAATAACCCAGTTTGGCACTGCTTTAACTGCCATGGCTCCATCCTATGGAATCCAGGTCTTTGTAGTTTGTTATGGCACCAGAGCTCTCCAACAGAGAAGGCTAAAGATCTCACAAAACTACAAATCTCAGAATTCCATAGGATGGAGCTAGAACATTTAAAGTGGTGTCAAAGTTCATTGTTTTTGCAGTGCAGATTAGTACCAGTGTTAGCCAGAGGCTCCCATGTTAGGGGTATGGTGAATCCACCCTTGGCTTTCTTGCAGATTTGAAAGGAGCTATCCAAAGTGTGAACCCTGTTTTGGAGATAGAGTTCAGCACTTGGATAGCTCCTTTAAAGCAGTGACTAAAACCTAAAGCAGATTCACTGCACCATAGAATTAAAATGCAAGACAGCGGAGGCTCTGATTTGTTCAAAATTGTCCACACCACACTAGATTTCCATGGTCAAATGGTCAATCATTCCCTCCAGCAGATGGGTCAATGACAAAAGGGTTTCTTGAAAGCTGGAAATGTAAAAACCACACTTTGAGGCTTGCTGGAGTTTAAACCAAATCAGTTCCTAGAAATAATGCAAACCCCTTTGACGCAGGCTAACATTTTGACGCTAGCAGGCATGTTCCAGTTTCCCCTCCAAATAACAAATTAAAATTCTTCCACGTTGTAATTGACGTCTGCTTTTGGAAAAACAACCAGCCCACCAACCTTGAGCCTTTCCTCTTGCTTTAGAAAGGAAATGCATCCCCATCCCATAAAAATAAAATAAAATAAAATAAGAAGATTCATATGCTTGCTATGCAGATGTGTGAATGTTAGATCGCACCAACAAATGCATTCCAGATGCAAATGTAATGACAGGCTTGCCCTGGAAACAGCAAAGACTGAAAAGGAAATTTCCATGCAGAAACACAAATAGATATGCCATGTCGAAACATTTTGTGATGGTGTCTGAGTTGCCATTTTTAAAGCAGCGGCTTTGCCATCTCCCAGGCACTGGCTGTGGCCTTCAACATCTGAATTTTTATAATGTCCATATCCTAGGTTCCAGCACAGCCACCATGAATATGTAGTGATGTCCAAGGTCCAATATTGGAGCCGTATAATGTAAATCAAAATATATGAGGTTGCACATTATATCATCATCATCATCATCATCATCATCATCATATTTTACATCAACTACTTAGTCATGCATGATGCAGGCATAAATAAGTAATTTCTCCTGGCCTGACCTCCATTCAGCCTTCCTTAAGAGCCAACAACAGCTGGATCGAGCAAAGAAGGTTTGTTCAGTTGACCTGTGCAAGGAGAAGGATGTTTCCATCCTCCTTTCACCAGCAAGCAAGGCTGAGACAAGAAATTGTGATGGGCCCCTGCTTCTGATTTTTGCAACCTGGTGGAGGGGGAGATCCCACCTAAACATTAGGAAGAATTTCTTGACAGTAAGAGTTGTTAGACAGCGGAATATGCTGCCTCAGAAAGTGGTAGAGTCTCCTTCTTAGGAGGTTTTTAAACAGAGGCTGGATGGCCATCTGTTACAGAGAATGCTTGGATGGTGTCCTCCTGCATGGTTGAAGGGGACTGGATTTGACTGCCTTTAAGGTCTCTTCCAACTCAGTGATTCCATAATGCTAAGCCTTTAGATTTGCAACCACAAATCCCTCACACACACACACACACACACACACACGAGATCCAGGATTAAATCCACCCTGGATTTTAGTATGAACTTCAAGAGTGGTCCAAGGTATGGAACTCTGCCCTCAAGATAGGTTCAGCACCTTGGAGACCACATCTACTGCTGAAACTTGAAATGGACCACCTCCCCAATATGGAAGCCCCTAACCCACCACTGGCTTGTCGGAGAGGAAACTTGGCCCTATAGAATAAAAGAAAGCATAACACAAGTATTCTGAGACACGGTGTGTACTTCCACTCTCCTGTGACAGTCCCAGTTCTGCAACCGTCTCTTCTCCAGGCTAAACATCCCCAGCTCCCGAAGTCTATCTTCATAGGGCTTTGTGGCTTCCAGACCCTTCGCCATTTTGGTGGCCCTCCTCTGGACATGCCCCAGCTTCTCAACCTCCTTTTTGAATTGTGGCACCCAGAACTGGACCCAGTATTTCACAGTATTGAGGGAAGAAATAAGGCAGGAGGCGGAGGGGGGAGAGAGAAAGCACCAGTGTTTTGAGACCCGGTGCGTACTTCCACTCCTTTGTGACAGTCCCAGTTCTGCCTGGTGTACCTGTTTGCTTCAAGGCAACCATGAAAGCTAGGATTTCTCCAGTAGATTATGAATCAGATGTGCTTTTATGCACAAATATTGGGTCTCCACTCAGACCTATACCAGGAGAGACACGTCGGCTCTTGCAATATTTCCCAGGCATCTCCTCTTATTTGGCTGCACCTCACATTGGAGGCTGCTGGGTTATTAATCCCAGGCCCTCCTGCCTCCAATCCCACAGGCCATCTGGGTGCAGCTGCCGATATTAAATTGGGAGGAGGAGAGGGCAAGGGAGAGAAGGAGAAGGAGGAGGAGGAGGAGGAGGAGGAGGAGAAGGAGAAGGCTCTCATCAGGAAAAAAAGGAGGAGAAGGAGGGAAGGAGAAAGAGGCAGGGGAGGGAGGGAGCAGAAGAGGCCTGCAAAATGCAAAGAAAGGACGTTCAGCCGTTGATTCTGTCCCATCCAGA